ATCTCTCTCTCTCTCTCTTTAAAAAAAAAAAAAAAAAAAAAAAAAAAAAGAAATAAATGTAAAAGGGAAAAATGAATTTTATGCAATTTTTTCAAACTGGAGAGAAGCAGTTAAGATTGTATCTTCTCTCTCTCTCTCTCTCTCTTTTTTTTTTTTAATATTTATTCTTTTACGTGTAGTTGGACACAACACAATGACTTTATTTTTATGTGGTGCTGAGGATTGAAGCCGGGTCCCACCCGTGCTAGGCAAGCGCTCTTCTGCTGAGCCACAATCCCAGCCCCTGTTATCTTCTCTTGTTAGTCACATAGAAGCTTACAGAAGCAGTTAAAATTTATAGAAACAAAAGCCAGGAGGTGTAATTTCGCAGATATAGCCAGGCAGTGTTGGCTAGAAAACACAGGGGCTAGTTTTTTGTTTCCATTCACAGCATGAGGAAGCTCAGGAGCTAAACCTTTTTCAGAGGTTTTAATTTCAAAAGGTCTGTATTTTATAACAAAGTCTTTCCCAGAACTTTGAGATGCTCTAATTAGGACCAATAACTCATTGGATCTTGTTTACAGCATGATTTTTATTGTTATTTTAATTTTTTTTTCAATTTCCCTTCACTATCCCTGTAGAAAATCCCTTGGGTTCTCTTTCTTCTGGTTCCCATGACTTTGGCTTTCTTGGTTTATTCTCTTGTTAATGAAGCATAATATCCTTCACTAGCTTTCAGAGAAAGGATTCATGGAAGGTAGATTTTTTAAAAATTTAGTTTGTGTATACAAATAAAAATTGTATATATTTTTGGTGCTTAGCATGATGTTTTTGATAAGTGTATATATTTTAGAATGGCTAAATTAAGTTATTTAACATTACCTCATGTACTATTTTTTTTGTGGTGAGAACACTTAAAAATCTATTTTGTTAGCAGTTTTCAAATTATTCACTAGAGTCATCATGATGTACAGTAGATCAGTATATTTCTTGTTTAACAGAAATTTCGTTTCGGGTTCTCCCACCCCTTAGCCTCTGGTAACCATTGTTTTTCTTTCTAAAAGTTTAACCTTTTTAAATAATATCATGGGTATTTGTCTTTCTGTGCCTAGCTCATTTCAATTAACATGATGTTCTCAGTTTCGTCAGTGTTCCAAATGCTAGGATTTCTTTTTTAAGGCTGAATAATATTCTTTGTGTATATGCCACATTTTAAAGATTCCTTCCTCTGTTGATAGATATTAAGATTGATTTCTGTATCTTCTGGCTTCCCCAATGGCTGTGTTATTCAGATTATTAGTAGGAAAGCTAGTTCCTCTTTCTCTGGAAGTGTTTGTGATCTCCTTTTTCACATCCTTAGTTTTTTGTGTGGATCTTTCTCAGTCACTCTGCTAAGTATTTGGTGGATCTTTTAATTCTAGAGACTTGTGGCCTTTAATTCTTTTTTTTTTTTTTTTGGTACCAGGGATTGAACTCGAGGGCACCCAACCGCTGAGCCACATCCCCAGCCCTATTTTGTATTTTTCATTTAGACACAGACCGAGTTGCTAGTGCCTCGCTGTTGGTGATGCTGGCTTTGAACTTGTAATCCTCCTGTCTCAGCCTCCTGAACTTCTGGGATTACAGGTGTGCACCACCGCACCCGGCTTGTGACCTTTAATTCTTGAAAATTAGTTTGAGTTAAAAAAAAATAAATCTTCCTTTTCATCAGTCACTTTATAGACCTCCAACTTTTGTCTTCTTTTCTCTCTAGATGATTTTCTGTGATATCTAGGAGCTTTTTAAAAACATGTTTAGTGTTTTTTTTTTAACATCCATTTTTATTTCATGAACATCTTCTCTTCTCTGGGACTGTTGGTAATCATGATTTTGTTTTAATTTTACAAGGTTTTTCCCTTTTTATAATCTCTTAAGTGTTTTGTTTCCTCTACCATTCATAAGCATGTATTCTGAAATGTTTGGTGATCTTTGATTCTTTTCCTGTATGTAGAGGTGAGGGGCAATTGTAAGCTGACTATAAACTCTTTGTATGTGGGTGAGGCTCCTTGACTCTCAGCTTCTCTGGAGGCTGATCTAACTGGGATGTTTTGTTGGAATTTCTTGATGTCAATATTGCTTCATCAAAATTTATGAGACTCCTCAGAGAAGCAGCTTTTAATATCCTGCCTAAAGGGTGTACAACTGACTACCCTTTTGGTACACACCTGAGGAAAAAAGGCTGAATGCCTCCAATTTAAAGTTTAAACTTATATGTCCTTTCTTTTTCTTCATAATAATAATTTGCTTTTAACACCTTCTAGAATCCCCTAGTTTAGAAAGCCTTTATTGTTCTCTCTGAAGAGTTTTTCCCTGAAGAGCTTTTATTCTCATTTTGTATTGTTCATGCAAGTTCACAAATTAATGCACATTAGTTATTTTATCATGCAACTCAAGACTTTGAGGAGGCTTGGACATGGGGTTTCATAAGTAAATTACTAAAATATCTAGTATATCAGAGATTTTATAAAGCAATTTTGTGATTCTTTTGGACCCTGAGCATAAATAAAGATGTGTTCTGGGGTATTATAACCAGGTAGAATGTCAGGTAAACTTGTTTAGTCAGATTGGGAAAGAGAAAATTCTGCTAACAGGAGAAACATGGAGGGCCCTAAATAGTGCAAAATACATACAGGAATCAAATTATTAACAGAATAAGCCTGTTAATAATAGGGGATGATAATGACTGTAGGTGTTGTAAAAATCCTGGTAGCCACCCTCTTCTGGTGGCTTGGAGTGCTGTAGATGCTTCTTATAGATGCTCTGTGTTGATCTGGCTCAGCATTTCTTGCATACTTCTCCAGACTTTTAATTAAAATGCAAAGCCCAGAAGGATATATATTCTTGTTTTGGTTACTTTATTCATACTTCAGCTTTTCCATGCCTTCTCTGACAGAGAGGAATATCATGTCTTCCTTTTTTTTAAATAGTGCTTTGAATTTTAATTTTTTGGCACTGAAAATTTTAAAGAAAAACAGTAAAGCTGTTTTTATTTTTGGAAAAATTGCATTATTAGGTAACATAATGACTATTTAATGGAAGTTATGTTTTAAAACTTTTATTGAGACATAATATAGCATATAATTAATTTGTTACAGTATTTGCAGAGTTGAGCACCCATCATCATAATTATACAATATTTTCATCAATTATGAAGGAACCCCCATCCCGTTAACAGTCACTTATTATTCCCCTCAAACCTCCTAGGCCCTGTAGTTGTCTCTCTGGTGTTCTCTGTTCTTCACATTTCATATAAATGGAATCATAAAATTATTTCTGACTTGCTTCTTTCATTTAATGTACTGTTTTCAAGATTTAACCATACTGTAGGATGTATCAGTATTCCATTCCTTTTTATTGCTAAATAATATTTCCACTATATACCACATTTTCTTTATCCATTAATGAATTGATTTTCACTTGGGTATTGACTACCTTTTTACTATGTGAATAATAGTGCTTTGAACAAGTGTTTGTATGGACATGGTTTTCATTTTCTTGGATGAATACTCAGGAATGGAATTTCTGGGTCTTATGGTAATTCTGCATCTAACTTTTTGGGGAACTGTCATACCGTTTTCTAGAGCAGATGTACTCTTTTACCCTTCTATCGAGATATGTGACAGTTGCAGTTTTTTTTGTTTTTTTTTTTTTACATTCTCACCAACACTGTTATCCTCTGTCTTTTTTGATTATAACCATCCTGTGGTCATACATCTGGGGGTGGTATCATATTGTGTTTTTGATTTGCATTTCCCTGGTAGTTACAGATATAGAGCATCTTTGCACATGCTTATTTGCTATGTTTCTAAATCGTTTTTGAAGAAATGGTTACTCATGTCCCTTACCCATTTTTCAGTTGGGCTATTTATCTTTTTATTGAATTATAAGAATTCTTTGAATATTCTAGGTATTAGACCTTAATCTGATATATAATTTGTACATATTTTCTTCCAGTTTTTGGGTTGTCTTTTTACTTTTTTCATGTTGTCAGTTGCAGCACAGAAGGTTTTAATTTCATGATGTGTAGTTCATTTTTTTTTTTTGCATTTGCATTTAGCCTTATGCAGCACTGTCCAAAGTCAGGGAGATTTACTGTTCTTTCTCAAAAAGTTTTATAGTTTTAACTTTTACATTTAAGTCTGTGACTCATTTTGAGTTCATTTTACTGGGTGATGTGAGATAAGGGTCCGACTTGATTCTTTTGCATGCAGATATCCAGTTTTTCCAGCACCATGTTTGAATACTCTTTCCCCCATTGTATGATTTTGGCACCCTTGAAAAAAATCCAGTTAGCCATGAATACTTTTGGGTTCTGAATTTTGTTCCATTGGTCCTATACCAGGACCACACTGTCTTGATTTCTCTAGCTTTATGTTATCCTTTTGTGTGTTCAGTATAGGCTTTGAAGACTGATTGAAAGAGTATTGAGGTAATAACGAGAATATATTTAATATAGAGAGTAGTTATTTTGAAAAAATATCAAGAGGCTAGGACATATGCAGTGTTTAGGGCTTGTAGTTTTGGATTTATCTTCTAAAAGATTTTGGGTAGTTATCTGAAAAGTGTTTTTGTTGGAATAAGTTTGGTTCTAATGGAAAACCATAACAGTGGCCTACATAGAATAGAGGTTTATTTTATGTTTTATATGTTGAGAGATAAACAGACTGGGGTACTTTCTGGTGTCAGGGGTGGTCTGTTTTGTTCTGTCCCATGCCTGGCTTTCCTTCACAGTATCTCTCCCTTTGGTAAGTACAGTGGCTACAGTGCCAGCCATCTTTTCTGCCTCTAGCTGGCAGGAAGGAGGAAGGGAGAACAAGGACTACTGTCTCGCTTTTTAAGAACCCGTCTATTGCATTCGTCGTTTCTCCTTCTGTCACACTGATCAGAACTTAGATATATAACCATACTGAGCTACTGGGTTATGTAGTTTTGTTTTGGGAAACCTGGTTAAAATGGAGGCTTTTGATAATGGAAGGAGAGAATACTTTTGTTGACAGGTAGCAGTCTTTGCCACAATAAGGTATTCAGTGATCCCAGCTGGTTGAAGCTCTTTGGAACCTCTAAGACAAACTGACAGAAGTTGAGAATTTAGTCTGGTTAGCTGTGATAAAATATCCGTTATTTTAATGAAAAATGTGGTAAATCGATCTTTACTTTGTAAGCTTTTATTTGTTAGATGCCTCTGTTGCATGATATAGGTGCCAAGGTTGCCAAGGTGGGTAGCCAGGGATAAGAGGAATTTTGTCTCATGGCTTCCTTTGATCTAGTCCTAGGGTGCATTGGTTAGGGTTCATTAAGGGGAACAGAACCAGCATGAATATCATAGAATTAGGAATTTGTTAAAAGAATTGGATTTATGCACAAAAAGGAAAAGCTAGGGAAGTAAAGATCTGAAAAGGAGAGTTTGTAGGGAAATTGGAAGCTAGGCATGAAGCGGGCTGTGGAGGGTGTTGGTTCTTTGTGGCTATTATTTTCTGTGAGTTTGCAGCTAAAAGTCGAGAGATGGGTGCAGGATTGCTGTTGGGCAGAGAAGTGCAAGGGCATACTGAACCTTGCCAGCTCTTCTGCATGTGTCTCACCAACTCCAACAAACAACCTTTAGAGTGTAGTGGTTGCTGCCTCATCTTTGCCATCTCTACTTCTATTTCTTCCTTTACTTTTATTTTACTATTGAACCATATGGATGGGAAAGGGTATTCTGGAAAACATTCCTGTGTAACACAATTGATAAGAGAATGATCCTCAATGTAGAGATAGCTTTCTGATGCACTAGAATTCTACTGGAATCTCATATTGTGTCAGACTTTCTACTTCTAAGAGTGTCCATTTTAGGGGGGTCTTTAAATATAATGTATTTTATGCCTTTGCCTGCCTGAAATATTGGCATATATGATTGGTCATATTCTATTCTTCTGGGAGGATAGGTTTTGCTACTTGATCCTTATTTCTCCTAGTTCTTATGTAGAAGTTTTAAACCCACATGAATTTCTTTCCAGGAAATGACTTGTATTTAGAATAGCAAAAAACACAAATAGAACTTTGATAATCTGAAATTCAAGACTCTTTCTCATTAATAGAGATATTCAAAATTATGGAATAAATCTTGCTCTGGTTAGATTTGTTTTACCTCAAAACTTAGTGTCCTAATACATTTTAGTGTGCTGATGATTTCTGTGGGCCATAAATTTGCCCAGAGCATGAAAAAAAAAGTGCCTTATCTCTGCTCTATAATATTTAGGGCTTCAGGTAGGAAGACTCAGAACTTGAGGGTGGCTTCATAGATCTTTCCATATGTGGTGGTTGATGCTGATTGTTGGTTGGCTTCTTTCCTGGGAATATGTAGTGAATCTGGCTTGGGTTTTCTCCAAGCATGGTGGACTCAGAACAGTTTAAATTCTCATGTGGTATCTCAGCACTCCCATGTGAGTGTTGCAGTGAACATGGTGGAAAAAGGCATTATTTTTTCTAAACTAGCCTTTGAAGTCGAGCAGTGTCACTTGTGATATATTCTGTTGGTTTCAGGTGAATGAGAAGGCTACCTACATTCAAGGGCGGGGGATCTAGAACCCTACTTTTTCGTAATTGATGCTGAATCAAACATGCAGTGTGAGAGATTTGGTTGTGACCATCTTTGGAAAATAAAGCCTGTCATAGGCTCTGAATTGAGGATTAAAAGATTTGTAGGTGCAAAGGAAGTATGGAAGAAAGGGTTATGGTGGAGGGATGAAAGGAAAGGTAGTCATTTCTGCCTAGATATCAGGCATGACCTCTGAAAGGAACCCGATTGTTGGAGTCTTGTGAAGTGTATTGGTCACTTGGAATTATCTTAATTTCCCAGTAGACGACACTGAGACTCAGAGATGCTAATGAAGACTGGATAAAGGATTAGTAATGAAACCAGACTTAAACTTAGTTGTTCTGACGTTTGGCCTTAGCTCACATTGGGAAATTTGAATTTTTAGTATGTTATGATTAAAAAGAGGTATGGCACAGGTAATAGGAGAAGCTTTTGGACAATGGCAATTTCATATGTGAGACTGTAACATACCTTGACATATAAAACTTTATTCCAGAAATTGTGACTTGTGATGTCTTAGATTGACAGAGGGATGGAAGTATTGAAATCTGTCGTGGCATAATATTTGTTTTCTCTCTTGGTTTTCACTAAGAAACTAAGAATTGTGGCTGCTTAAAGATTTTTATAATAGGATCAAAAGAGAGAATTCTGCTAGCTTATCTAGACCATTAACATGCTTCCTTGTTTCTTTTAATAGGAAGCCCAGAACCTCATGGCCTTGACCAATGTGGACACCCCATTAAAAGGTGGACTTAATACCCCATTGCATGAGAGTGACTTCTCAGGCGTGACTCCACAGCGGCAAGTTGTACAGACTCCAAACACAGTTCTTTCTACCCCATTCAGGTATTATAAAAATAAACATATTTTATGTTTTAGGAAAACCTGAATCCAAGAATTTGGACAGCATGTTTATTTTAGTATGTTGACAAAGAATATAAATAAGCATTCAACTTGCTTTTTTTTTTGCTTTCTCCTTACTCATGGTAATAAATAACATTTATAGTGTCAAAGAAATGGTTACATATGGTGGCATTTTTATTTTCAAAGTTTCAGATGCTAGCATCTTGTTTCTGAACACTTTATTTGATTTTAAAGATTAGATGAATCCATTGTTAGTGATCATTTGGTGAATTTTATAAAAATTGTATAAAATTTTTAAAAATTTATAAAAAATGTATAAAAATTAATATATGTCTTATTGCTTTTCCTTAGCATTTTTCTGTGAAAAATTAAAACATTCAAAAAATATGCAAGAATGGCAAAGCAAATATTCATATACCCAATCACTTAGTTTCTGTGATTATTAACATTTTACTTTATATGATATGTGATATTTGCTTTATCACGTATCTATCCAATTATCAATCCACTTTATTTTTTAAGGCATTTCAAAGTAGTTTGCAAATAATCAGTCCATATTCACACCTAAACATACATGCATGTTATTAACTAGTGGTCAGTATTTCTTTGCACTTCTTTTATTTTAATCTACCCTTTTGAAAAGGAATATCTTTAAGATATAAATGTTATGGAAACTAGTCATATTAAAATGGAATTTGAGTTTTTAAGGGATGATTATTTCAAGTTTAATTTTAAGTGTTAGAATATGTCCTTCTATGGGTTTAGTTTTCCTTAAATTGGTAAGATTCATATATGAAAGCAGAATAGAGACACACTGGCAGCCAATCCCAGTATGATATTTAACACTTCTTGTGAGGCTAAAGAGAGCCTAATCCTTTTTCTCCTGTGTATGTCTTGTCTTTCAACTAGATTGTAAGCTCCTTGGGGGCAGGGACCATGTCTTATATGGTAACCCCTCAACTATTGGGAACAGCTGTATGGCAGCACCACCAGTCTGGAACACAGTCAAGATACAGGAAGTAAGCACCCTTGTCTCCCCCAAAAGGCTTTGAACAATTAAAACATAAGTTACTGCAAAGTCTGTGTACTTTTTTCTTTATTTTTTGAGATGGGGTTTTGCTGTGTTGCCCAGGCTGGCTGCAAACTTATGATCCTCCCACTGCAACCTCTTGAGTAGCTGAGATTACAGGCCTGTGCCACCACGATGGCTTTGTCTATGGACTTTATTGCTAGAAGAGGTTATTAATCTTCACCCAGAGCCTGTTCATACCTAGAAGTGTTTTTAAAAAGTGTGGTGTGTGGTTTCCAAACAATGAATTACTTAAAGTATACAGTTGATGATGACAATAATGACTGATAGTGTAATAGTCAACAACTTGATAGGGAGGAGAAGATGATTAGACAAATACACTGAACTTAAGTCATGGTGTTGGCCAGCCTCCTTGCCCACTGCCTATTCTTAGCCACCCTAATGCATGAAGAAAAAATTGAAATAATGTTTACTTTTTAAGGACGGTTCTGTCAAGCATAACGACTATTAGAAGTCAATAAAATAAAAATACAGCATTCTGTGCTAACTAAACCAAACCTTTATTTTAACCTAGAGAGCGAACTTAAAACCACCAGGCATAATTTTTGGAATCTTTGTTTCTTCCATATTTTTTATATTCCCTGTAGAATAGTATATGTGAAAAACATTTGAAAGCACAATCCAAATATAAGTGGCACTTTTATTAATTGATTTCTCTTTTTCTAGGACTCCTTCTAATGGAGCTGAAGGGCTGACTCCTCGGAGTGGAACAACCCCAAAACCAGTTACTAATTCTACCCCAGGTAGAACTCCTCTTAGAGACAAATTAAACATTAATCCAGAAGATGGAATGGCAGACTATAGTGATCCCTCTTATGTGAAACAGATGGTAAATGTCAATTCCCTTTTAATACTCTTTAAAAGAATTTTTTTTTTTCCGGGGGTAATGTTGGGGATTGAACCCAGAGCTTTGCACATGCTAATAAGTATGTGCTCTACCATTGAGGTTACTATATCCCCAGCTCTAAAAATTGGAAAAAAAAAAAAAATCTTATGGGTATCAAAGTAAAAATTCCAGCCAGCGTGGATTTCATTTACCTTAGGAATCTATACATCTGTTAATGCCAGAAAACAAGAATGATTTGTAAGAGTTGATGAAAGTAAGGGGGGGAATCTTCTGTGCTTATAAATCTACTTTGTTACGGTTAATATGCTTGTAAATATTGAAAATGTTGTATCTTTTATCATTTTAATTTTTATCGTTTACTAATGAATACTTTTCTTTATTGAGGGGTACATGTATTTTAATAATAATTGTTTCTGTAAATGAAATTTTAAGTTTTAAAGCCTCATCAATTAGATTTTGAGCCTGAATCCTTCTACTTGCTCCATATATTTAGGACAGCCTAGATCTCAAAGCCAAGTTAATTTTTTTGTTGTTGATTTCAGTGAAATTTTCTTCTGTATATATTGCATGGTGATGTAGAAAGCTAACTATAAATAGTTAACAGTTTTTGCTTCTGCCCATTTTACTGCTTTTATTACATTAGTCAGTGTAAATTAATAAAAAATGGATTTGGAAATTGGGAAGAGTATATCAGGAAATACAGTAAATACATTATTGGACCTTATTTGATTCCAAAGAAAACACTGTGAAGTTTTAAAAAAAATGAGTTCCAGTGATACTGATCTATCTTCAGTTTAGAAATTAATTCTAACTTCATATACAGATTTAGTTAATTTATGATTTAAATCAGCACCTAAATTGATATCCACTAAAGCCAACTCTTAAAAAAAAAACTATATATGAGTTAAACAATTGAGAACCTATGTGTGGAAAACATAAATCAGAAATTTGAGGGGCTAGCTTTTGTTTTAACAATGTTTATATTCTAGGGGGACTGGGAAATAAGACTAGAAAGGTGAGCCAAGGATGCACTGAGAAAAGCTTTGGCTACCAGCTGGTTTCTTTGGGAATTTTTTTATTAGTCCAAGGACAAGTTAACTTTTCTGTTTGTTCTTTTCATTTGCTATTAAATTTCTTTGTCAGAAATATATTCTTCCAACAGATCTTCTACGCCTCTTATCAGTATTATTAATACTGATTTTTGGCATGAAATTTACTTGGGCATTTCAACAGTACACTTAGAAACATGAATATGTTTCATTATGATTGGCATTTTTATAAAAAAATGTTGTCTTGTGCTTAAAACAGTGAGTCACAGGGTGGGGTAGTGGGGTGAGTGCAGTGCTACATAAATAATTTTGTATATGTGAAAGTAAATATCTCATTAGAAATAAAATGTATATGCCAATTACATGGCCTTTGATTTCCTGGAATTAAAACTTTTCACATCTTCTGGACTGAAGAGAACATGAAGTGTACACACAAAGGACCCACTAAGAGTCAAACATAGAAGTCTAAATTGACATTCAGCAGAAGATACTGATTAATTCATTCACTGGTTTAACAAAATACTGAGACTCAGTATTTAGGTGCCTGATGAAATGCTTGTACGTCGGTGGAAAAGTATGAATAAAAATGAAGATGAAAATGACAGTACTGGTTGTTTTTATAGACTATAATGCCTTTTAGCTAATATAGTATAATTTACATTATGAATGATAAAATAGATTATCTTTAAGAGCATTTTAATTCTTATTGTATATAAGTTTTTTTGCTTTGTTGGGGGCATGATGTGCTCTATTAGTATCAACAAAACTCTTTAGGGGCTGGGTTGTGGCTCAGCAGTAGAGCACTTGCCTAGCATGTGTGGGGCTCTGGTTTCAATCCTCAGCACCACATAAAAATAAAAAAAATAAAATAAATGTATTCTGTCCAACTAAAACTAAAAAATAAATATTGAAAAAAACTCTTTAAAAGGAAGAGAAAGTACAAAAAACATATATATTCTTTCAAATGAAAATCCAGTTGGTCTTTTTTTTTTCTGTTCTAGTGGAGGTGATTTTCAAATATCCTATTGGAATATCCCAGAGTATCTTCATTGATCACAAGTCAAAGCTTTTGATTGGTCTTAATATGGAGCAGATAGAAAATAAACAAAAATCTTAGTTCTGAAGCCAGGAATAATTTTTCTAGAATTAATTTTAGGCTAATTTTTTTTGGGAAATTTTTATAGAATACTGATTGGATACTTAATGTGTATGAGTGAGAAGGACCATTTCTTTTCTACAGGAAAGAGAATCTCGTGAACATCTCCGATTAGGGTTGTTGGGACTTCCTGCCCCTAAGAATGATTTTGAAATTGTTTTACCTGAAAATGCTGAGAAGGAGCTCGAAGACCGGGAAGTGGATGATACTTACATTGAAGATGCTGCTGATGTGGATGCTCGAAAGCAGGTGGGTAATAGTGCTGTGAAGAAGAGTGAGTGTGACTAAATATATCAGGAGGCTTAAAGAATGATGAGTATTGTTAAATGTCTCAAGAACTTGGAAGGTTTTTTTGATATTTAAAAATATCTTAAATTAAATTACATTATTAATGTTATTTACTGATATAAATCATGGTATACTCACAGTCTCTTGGTGGGTATTTTTGAAGTGTATATATATGTAGAGTAATTTAAGTACTCTGTCAAATTCATTATGCTTCTCTAAAATGCAAATAATTTTTTAGCCATTGCTTCAATCTAGTGAAGAAAAGATGTTAAAAGTAAGTAGATCTTAGATTAGTTGGGTAAATAGATTTAAGTCAGTGTAAACTAATAAAAAATGGATTTGGAAATTGGGAAGAGTATATCAGGAGATACAGTAAATACATTGTACTAATATATCTTTTAGTTAATTATTTTCTCATTTGCACATAACAGTCCAGTAATGTATTAGCTCTATTTTTGAAATGAGGTAACAGGCTTAAATGAATTAAGTTAACTTTTCCCAAGTCTTATGGCTGGTAAGTGGTAGTAAATCCCAAACTAAAACTGAGTTTATGTGATCCCTTTCAGTTAATCCCATGGTCGTCCATTTTAGGATGATTTTATGTAGCTTTAATCTCAGGGTTGATGTGAGAATGATATCAATATAAATCATATTTTAGAGGAGAACCATGTGAATGTACTTTTTCATAGGGAGCAGTGGGTGGTACTTTTTATATTTTGCCTTCTCAGCTACTTTGAATTACATTTACTTTCTCAGAAATGCCATGAAATTTTAATGCGTTACCATATAACTTGAGAATCAGGAAACATTGACTAGCTTTTTAAATTACAAGTCAGTAGCTTTGGGGTTAAAAGAAAGGGTTGTTGGGAAATCTCCTTTGTGTTTAGGATTTTCATTTAGACAAGAAAAGTGGTTGTCTGATGCATAGAGCCAGATAAATTTGGAGACTGCTGTAGCAGACATTGAAATTTCTTAGTTTCTATTGTATTGAGAATGAACGGATAGATTTTCATGGTCTTATTATTACCTTTCTACAAACTTACACAAATTTCTACAGATTTAGCTTTTGAACATTATTGATCTTACAGACTAAAATGTTTTCAGCTTTATTGAGAATTGTCAAATACTGTATAGCTGCAATAATGGATATAAAATTATTGTTTAGGCCATACGAGAGGCAGAGCGGGTAAAGGAAATGAAACGAATGCACAAAGCTGTCCAGAAAGATTTGCCAAGACCATCTGAAGTAAGTATTAAAATTTCTGACTGAGGAAGTTTTAAGTTTTATATGATTGATGCTTTTTATATCATTCATAAAGACTGTAAAACAAAATTTCATCTACTTCCTGGAATATTAATAAAACAAGTCCCAGTAGTCTTTAAAATGATGTACTGATACCAGTAAGAATTTAGAAGGGGAAAAAATACTTTTGAAAATGTAAAACTGCTATTTAATTCATGCTGTAAAAGGAATAACATTAGTATGTTGCAGTGATATGTTTGGTAATTGTACTTGTTTTACAATTTTTAGGTAAATGAAACTATTCTAAGACCCTTAAATGTAGAACCACCTCTAACAGATTTACAGAAAAGTGAAGAACTAATCAAAAAAGAAATGATTACAATGCTTCATTATGACCTTCTACATCACCCCTATGAGCCATCTGGAAATAAAAAAGGAAAAACTGTTGTATTTGGTACTAACAATTCTGAGCACATTGCTTATCTGGAACATAACCCTTATGAAAAGTTCTCCAAAGAAGAGCTGAAAAAGGTATGATTGAGCAGGAATATTTCTGCCATGAGATTTAAGCATTTGTTAGATGCTGTGTGTCATGGACAAATGTGAACTTATTTTGCCACATTAATATTCATGAACATGGGGCTGGGGATGTGGCTCAAGCGGTAGCGCGCTCGCCTGGCATGTGTGCGGCCCGGGTTCGATCCTCAGCACCACATACCAACAAAGATGTTGTGTCCGCCAACTAAAAATAAATAAATATTAAAATATTCTCTCTCTCTCTCCTCTCACTCTCTCTTAAAAAAAAAAAAAAAAAAAAAAAAAATATTCATGAACAACTGAAGCATTTGGTTAGGAGATAAGTGTTTATGAAGTGTTAGGAAAAGGACATACTTTATTCTCACCCCACAGGTGTATCAGCTAAACACTGGTTCTGATGGCAAGGTGTTTTGATTCATGGGTGTATTGGCTTGTTCAGTAATTGCTGCTGTTGCCACTTCCTGTGTTCAATTTTGCTGTCTCTGAAAAGAATTAGATGCCTTTAAAGCTCACTTATATACAGATCCTCATTGACTTTTGTTGTTGTTAAATATTTATTTTTTAGTTTTAGGTGGACACAATATCTTTATTTTACATTTATGTGGTGCTGAGGATCAAACTCAGTGTTTCATGCATGCTAGGCGAGCGATCTGTCACTGAGCCACAACCCCAGCCCCCACTCATTGACTTTTGATGGGGTTATGTACTGATAAACCCATTACAAGATGAAAATACCATTAAGTTGAAAATGCACTTAGTACACCTAACCCACCAGACATGATAGTTTTATCAACACAGTACACTGTAGAATGAACTCGTGGCTGACGGGGAGCTAAGGGAGGAGCAGCTTATCAGCCTTTCAAGAAAATATTATCCTGCCTGTTGCTAGCCTAGAAACAGATAAAAATTCAAGATTTAAAGTACAGATTGAATTGGATGTATATTGCTTTCACATCATTGTAATAACATAAAAAGTCTAACCATTGTTAGTTGGGGACCATCTACTTTAAAAATATTTTTAGATGGGCTGGGTTTGTAGCTTAGTTATAGAGTGCCTGCCTAGCACAGGCGAGGCACTGGATTTGAGCCTCAGCGCAACATAAAAAAACAAAACCAAAAACCCAAATAAATAAAATAAAGATTAAATTCTTTAAAAAATTATAGATTAAGCAGTTTTTCTGTTCAAAGAAAGGAAATACTTTTTATGAAATTTATTCCCTTCATATGATTTCCCTCTACCCTTTTATATAAGGAAACAATTTCTTGTATAAAGTCTGTATCCTATCTCTTCCACGATATGCATTTTATTCTTTCTGCTTTGATCAACAAATCTGTATAATAGCATAAGAAAATAGTTTATTTCCTAGCTGGAAGCTGCTGTGATTTGAAACTGCCTTCTAAAATTCATGTTGAATTTAATTGCCATTGTAATAGTATTAGGAAGTAGGGCCTCTAAGAAGTTAGGTCTGAAGGCTATACCTTCATGAGCAGATGGGTTATATCTGGAGTGAGTGAGTTATCTTGGGAATGATACTGTCTGCCGTGGTACAGTGTAGCAAGAAAGCCTTACCAGATGTAGCCCTGTGATTTTGGACTTCCTAGCCTCCAGAATTGTGAGAAAGAAATTTCTTTTAAAATTATCTAATCTGTGGTTTCCTTTTTTAGCAGCAAAAAATAGGCTAAGATAGAAGTAAAGCAGTCATTTACTTGTCTTTTTTCTTTAATATTAGACCCTGAGAGGCAGTGATGAGCTGCTGCACACTTGGGAGAAATTACAGGATTCTTTCTCCTAGCTTCTATTCTGCATTATTCCTCTTTATATCTTTCTTGTTTCTTACTATTTTCCTTGCTATAAACTGATACATATTTTTATAGGAGTTTTGACAGTAGAGAAAGGGGGGAGGGTTTATTAATAACTTGCCCCTGATTTCTGAATAACTTTGAATGACATTTTTATTTTTGGTAAGTGGGATAGTGAAACTGACATCTATTGACATCTATGCCTCCTCTCTGTCAAGCTCATTTAATCATTGAATTAGAGTTGAGACTCAGGTTTTGAAATCAATACTTGAATAGTTTCCTCTTTAGAGTGAAAATATGAGGAAAAAGAATTTAGAAAATAAATATTTCTAAATTTATTTTATGTATGCAAATCTGAAACAAGGATCACATTGTTGCTTTTAGACGTTCTGTAGGGAATACATTTTTCTATTACAACCTTTAAAAATAATAATTCTAAGTATTACTTTGGGATTATTTGAAACAATACTAAGTATTCTCCCATTTTTTTATCTGTGAATTTCTCTTTGTTCTAAAAAGAATTTGAAACAGCTATTTCAAAGCAGATTCTTTATTCTTACTCTTTAAAGATGACTTACTACATGCTTTCCTAATGATAAGAGCCAAAACTTGTAAATTTTTACTGTGTACAGTATACCATTCCTTTTTGAATGAGGTTTCAGATTTTCATTTAGTGTTTGTTTTCATTGTTTCCCCTGAGAAGTATTAATTAATAGTATCAATTCTTTATTTTCTATAGACATAATTTTTTCATTTTTGTTAAAATTTTGCTTTTTTGGGGCATTTCTTTTGATTTTTTAAAAACATTTTGATATATATTTATTTTCCAACATTACCAGAAAGATTGTAAACCTTCTATAAGGCATAGAAGACGGCTGTCAGTTTTTCATTAGCCATGATACAAGGGTTTATGATATGTTCATGGAATTCTGTGTGTCTGGTGTTGGACTAAGCTCTTTGCATATATTGTTCATTTAATCCTAATGACAAACATATCAGATAGGTGCTATCCCCATTTTATGGATGAGAAATGGGCTCAGAGAAATTAAGCAATTCAGACAGCTACTCAAATGTTAAAGCTATGATAACCCAGGCCTGTCTTGCTCCTTTCCCTGTCATCCTGTCATTTTAAACTGTTCCTTTTGTAGCAAACCAAAGCTCCTGTATGAACTTTATTTTTGACTCCAGTCTCATTATCTGGCAATGTTAGAGGTATTCTTTCAGGAAGAGAAAAAAAGCCTTTCGTCAAAAAGAGGCCTGATTCCCCTTCAACATTCTGTGAGGTGATGAGTTTGAGGTGGAATGGGAAAGTGGATGGAGCACAACCAAGCATTTTGCCATTTTGTCTTAGATCCTTCTTTATCTGCTTACTAGCAATGTGGTCTTGAACAAGTTTACAATCTGTGAGCCTCAGTTTACAGCTTTGAAACAAGGTTAAGCCCAGCTTGATGGCACATGCCTGTAATCCTAGAGCTTGGGAAGTTGAGGCAGGAGAATTCCAAGTTCAAAGCCAGCCTCCGCAACTTAATGAGGCCTGTCTCAAAAATAAAAAGGGCTGGGTTTGTGACTCTGTAGTAAAGTGCCCCTGGGTTCAATCCCTGGTACCAAAAATCAAAAACAACAAAACAGCAACAACAATGGAAAACTGAGGTGATTGAATATTGGCTGTTTTGTAAGGTAGTTGTGATCTTTGGAGATAATGTATGTAAAACTTTTAAACCCAGTTTCTAATATATTATAGATGATTGATTTAAGAAATGGTAGCTGCTATTATAATGAGTGAAAACAAAAGATGTTTGTACTATTGGGGAAACACAGATGCTTGACATTTTAAAATCAGTCTGTATTGATTTATAGGTATAATAACTCAATTGGCTTAGGTATTGCCTTCCACCTCCTCCAAAAAATGATCAGCCAACCAAAACTCCTTGCCTTTAGCCTAAGGAAGGAGGGGAAAAAACCTAGTCTTTTTTAAATTCTCTTCTGGTGATGACAAGTATTTGTAGTACTTAAACTCACTGAAATTATTATTCTCAACAGGCCCAAGATGTTCTGGTGCAGGAGATGGAAGTGGTAAAACAAGGAATGAGTCATGGAGAACTCTCCAGTGAAGCTTATAACCAGGTGTGGGAAGAATGCTACAGTCAAGTTTTATATCTTCCTGGGCAGAGCCGCTATACACGGGCTAATCTAGCTAGCAAAAAGGACAGAATTGAATCACTTGAAAAGAGGCTTGAGGTTGGTATCCTTTTAAAATTCTAATTCAAATGTATCTTGATTTAAATTATGAAGTAAATGTGACACTGGTTACAATTTCAGTAAAATAGACCTGAGCTGCTTATCGCCTTTGCAATTTTTGAATAAAACTAAACTCAAGTGTTTGATCATTCTTGGCCCAGTTCATTGGTTTTACACAATTACAGGCCTTCCAAAGAATGTCCTCCCTGCAGGTAAACCACAGGTTAGTCTGTCTGTACCTTTTAGATGTGGGAGTAGCCACCAAGTTGATAACTGGTCACTCAGAATAGTATAGATTAATACTATATAACAGTCTGTTTTTCTCTATGAAGAGATTTCAGTGGTATCAAGGAGTTTCCTTTTTATAGCCCAAATAGCACATTTAAAAAACCTTGAGATTTTTTCTGTCTATTCTCTGATTCCTTTAAATTTGAATTAAGAGGGTAGAGTTGGATTACTTAGACAATGGCTTCTAGGATTTTTCATGTCTAAGAAAACATTGAAACATACTAGATGCAGTTTCATGGCCATGTGGTTTCTTAATATAGTCTGCATGTTTTGAATTCCAGAATCTGTATAGGCATTTTGCCACTGGCATGTGAATTGTGGTTCATAGACCTCCAGGCTGCCTTGTGGATTCCTGATGGTGGTCTTTAGGGATATATCAAAGACATAGGGATATATCAAAGACAAAGACAGGATGGGAAGGAGAAGGGGCATTTAAAGCAATTTCATGTAGAAAATGGCCTAAGTTTCCTCTTTTATGAGATTATTAGTTTTTCTTTACAGAAAGCAGATTTGAGAATATTTTTATTTAGAGTTAAATCCAGATAGAGTAAAATTACTTAAGGTGGTTGGGGGTGGGTGGAGCCAGAGAAAGAAGGAGGAAAAAACCAGTATCTTTTCATGTGAAAGTTATTCTAAGTCGTACTTTAACCTTTAAGATCATATGTGGAGGCATCTGATGGTTAATGCCCATGAATCTATGTTTTCAGTTAGTGGGAAATTAGTGTTTCAGGGCTGCTGATTATTCTAGTTGTGTTATTAACTTCCAGCAGGGTGTGCTGTTGCTCTGTGTTTTAATTTTGAGTTAAAGTTGGGGAAAGTAGAACATCAGTGGTTAAACTGTATATTATATTTCTGTTGTGTAGGCTTCATTTCCTATAAATGGTAGTTAGCAGTGTAATTCTGATCTAAGGTCAGCATTATAATTGATTGGAAAGCTATTTGGAAATATTCCTTGTAACATTTATATATAAATACTTAGGTCTCTCACTTAGTTTGAAAATCTTCTTATTTGAGGTGGGTAAACTCTTTCTGCCGCAAATGGCAAGGACATTTTGTGCTGTTTAAAGAAAAAAGAAAAAAAGAAATTTTTCCCTAAATCTCATTTAGTTTGTTGAGGCACTAACTTTCATGACAGCAAATAAATGTGTCACAAAGTGAGTGGTGCCATAAAGTACAGTAATTTTTATTTCGATGTTGAATTGGTCTTGTGAGTTTTGAAGGGAAAAATACAGAAAGAACCACTGCCGTTCTTTTGGAGATTTATTTGGGTCGTTTATGAGCAACCATTAAAAACATGTGGTTCTCTTTGTTCAGTTCAGTACCAGGAACTGAAATCTTCCGTTGAACTATTTTTGTTGAAGGATTGGTGACTTTGGAAGAATATTCATAAAACAGTCGGGAGTAATTTTTCTCTTCTTGACTCCTGGATAACTTGCTTTATTGTTTATCCAGCTAGTTGCTTTTAAGGAATACTTAATCAGATCCTTTAATTTAGTAAACTATGCTTATTTCAAATGAAAGTTCATTAAATCTTTGAGAAGAAGAAAAACAACTCAAAGACCCAAATAAACAAATCCCCCATTTTATTTGTATCCATCCCTAATTCAGAACTGTATTTCTCTTTGCTTTTGAAGACACAGCTTTACTGGTTTAAAATACATAAATATTTTATTTCAATTGTGGTACTTCTTTCATCATTTCAGTTGATTGCTAAATTATAAACATTATTCAAAGTTTGTTGTGGGGAAGGAACCCCAGTTGTATTGTATAAACTAAATGCTACACTTAAATTATCCTTTCCACTTTCAGGTTCAGGGAGACAGGCCTTTCTGGGCAAGCATAGTGCACCATGGCTGCCAGTGTGTTTGATTTTTGCTGCCATGAACTTTGGAACAGTGAATCTAAATTGTGGCCCTATTACAGCCTATCAAGCAAGATGAGACCCAGCTTTATGGTGCCTGGTGTCTTCTAAGTGTATGTGCCCTGAGGTTTATATTGGAGCTACTTTTTGAGCCATTACTCATGATTAATATTTGAAATTTAGCACTTAAATGAAAGTCCTTAAGATACCCATTTAAAATTAACAGAACCATCTCAGATTTTCGGGAGAGAGAGAGAGAGAGAGAGAGAGAGAGAGAGAGAGAGAGAGAGAGAGAG